ATATAAAAAATAATGCAGTTTGAACAGATGTTTTTAGAGCTGAACATAATCAATTTTTCTTTCTTTCTTTTTTTGGTTGAGAGAGGGTCTTTCTGTGTAGCCCTGGCTGGCCTCGAACTGGAAGCAATCCTGCTACCTCAGCCTCCCGAGTGCTGAGATTACAGGCATACACCGCCAAACTTGGCTTATTTTTTTTGTTGTTTTCATAGAAAAAAAACAAATGTATCTTAGTGCTGTTTTATACTAGCAAAAAAAAAATACATATGTATGTATGTATATAATGTATATGGTATTAAATGCAGGGCCTTTGAATTAAGCTAAATTCCCAGCCCATTTTTTATTTTAAGACAGAGTTCTGCTAAATCACTCAGTTGCCCAGGCTGGGCTGAAACTTGGAATCCTCTTGCCTCAGCCTTCCACAGTGCTGGGGTTATAGGCATGTATCTTTGTGTGGCTACAAATTTTGTATTTTACATAGAAAATTGTAGACAGCACATACATTTTAAATGCATTGTAATATCCTTTTTTGTTGTTGAATGTAGGTGATACTCTGTGGTGCTGACATTTAAATTTATACACACACACACACACACACGCACGTAGTTTTTAAAGGATATTGAAAATTTAGAATTATAGTCATGTATTCCTTAATGGATATGAATGTTTTGAGAAATACATTGTTAGGTGACTTCATTGTGATGAGCATCATGGAATGTACTTAACACAGTGTTAGATGGAATAGCCTACCTCACACCTAGGCTATATTGCTCCTAGCTACAAACCTGTACAGCATGTAACTGAACAGGCAGTTGAAACACAGTGTTAAGTATTGTATATGAAAAGTACAGTACAAATTTCAGCACCATTATAATCTTACGAGATCACCACCATAAATGTCAAAAATGTCAAAAATGTATGTATCAGGAAAATTAAAACGTAAATATTTTAATAATAAATTTATTGAAACATCATGAGATTAATAAAGTTACCTTTGTCCTCTACGATTACAAGAGGTACTCAAAGTGGTGGCCATTAGTTTCTAGACATTTATTAGTATGGTGAACTGGTGAAGTGTATACATTTTTTTGGCGGACTCTGTATATGTTCTATTGTTGACAAAAATGCCTGCTTGTATTCAGGCAAATTTAATTTTATTAGAACTCCATTTTTCCCTATTCACATAATAGTAGATACTTAGGTTCTCAGTATGAAGTAGCTTAATATCTGTAAACAGAAGAATAATTTTCTTATATACTGTATTCTTCTGTGAGAATATAGAAGTTCTTCCTATAGGACCATCAGAGACTATTTGGGAAATAGGTTAAAGTGGAATAACTAGGGGTTATGCTAGAGTAATAGAAAATTGGGTTGAGTGAGAGATGATATCATAAAGACTTAGGATTCTATGGAGTTAAAGATGAATTTCGGTTACTAATTTGTCATTAATTTTTAGTCATAACTTTTTAATTTTGAGAATGTGAACAAGGGTGTATCTATTTGACCATGCTTTATCTTCGGAATACATACTTCAGGATAAGGTAAAATTGAATTATTTCAATAATGAACATTCTTCAGACAACACAAAAACAAAAATATTAAAATATATTTTGTACTTTTAAAAAAATTTCTTGCCTGTGTGTGATTTTCTTTTTAATAGGAAATCAAACCCCAAAGCCATTATAACCATGGGTATGGTGAACCTTTGGGACGGAAAACTCATATTGATGATTACAGCACATGGGACATTATCAAGGCTACACAGTAAGTTTTTTGTTGTAGTTGTTTTCTTCTTTGAATAAATATTTTAAGTGAAATATGAATAAAGGAAAATGTCAGTGTTTCAGTTAAATTAGTTTATTTCTCATCAGTTTATTAATTTTAATCCGTTTGCTTTTGGTGCTTGCTAATCTTTCTAGAAGTTTAATATTATGTCCCAAGAATATTAAAATTGACTATGGAGAATTAGAAAATATTATTGGTATTAAGAGAATTTTAAATGAAAAATGTTATGTACATTCCACATTTCCCTTCCTCTCAAGCAAGCATACAAATTAGATACTCTTTTTTTTTTTTGGCACTGGGGATCGAACTCCGATTCTTCCACTTGCAAGGCAGGCGGCGGAACCACTGAGCTAAATCCCCCACCCAAGCATACAAATTAGAAATAAAATGTAGTCAATGCCATGTATTTAACTTTTATTGAGGGAGATACCAGAGCTGTCTAATACATGATCTTCAAAATGCCAGATTATCAGTCTTTGAGATAGGACAAGGAAAATGATAAATCTAGGAATATTGTAATGAAAAGTCATGTGGAAGTTCAAATACAGCAGATATTTTCATCTGCAAATAGAATGGAGAAACTATATAATTAATTCATATGTCCTTCAGAATTTTAGAACTGTCTGGCTTAAAGAAATCCACATTCTTTTTTTTTTTTTGGTGTTTTTGCAATAGGGTCTGGGTATGTAGTTCAGGTTGGCCTTGAACTTACAACAGTCCTGCTTCAGCCTACCAAGTGCTGAAATTACAGGGATGCACTACCACCTCCGGCAAAGTCCACATTCTTGTAATTGGAGAATTAAATGCTTTTGCATTTAATGTAACTTCTATTAGGTAGGATGTACATCTGCCACTTTGCTTTGTTTTCTACGTCTTTTGTCTTGTTTTGTTTCCCAGTTCCTCCATTACTGCTTGCTGAGGATCCCCTGTACTTCCTATTGAGAATCTCTTTTATGTGATTAGTCCCTAATCTTTTGCTTCTTTTAAGATTCTTTGTTTTTTTTGTCAGTTTGATTATGGTATGTCTTGATTTGTGGGTCTTGAGCTTCTTGGAAGTATATGTACATTACATATAGATTTTATAGGTAGATGGGTGGATAGACACATAGTTGACATATAGTTGATCTTAGATTGTTTTTTATCCAATTTGGGAAGGCTTTGGTCACTTTTTTTTTGGTACTGGGGATCAAACTTGGTTGAGACATTGCTCCTTTAGTTCTTTAGATATGGTTTCCTTTAGCTCTTTAATGATTTTCTTTACTACCTGAGTTCCAAAAGCCTTTGGTTAATTTCTCCAGTACTGAAAATGTTGATTCTGATCAGTTTTTCAAGCTATTTTAATTGCTGTTTTTAAATCTGCCATGTTAACTTTCATTCTGAATATTATGTATATTCAGAGATGAAAGCATACTTGAACCAACTATACTAATTTTTGGCAAATTACGTTGCTCTGCTCATTTTAAGTGATGCTAGTATTGAAAATTTGTAGTTTTGCTTTATTAATTAGGAGTGTACTATACCAAAAATGTAAAGCCCTGTTCTTTTTTTTTGGTACCGGGGATCGAACTTTGGTCCTTGAGCCTGCATAGCAGGCAGCGAAACCACCGAGCTAAATCCCTGGCCCTAAAGCCCTGTTCTTATAGTCATTTGTAATGTAATGCATAGTAGAATACCAATGTTACTAGTAATTACTAAGCACATGTTTTTCACAAACTTCTCACATTACATATCATAAGCACATACACAGTTTTATAGGACTCCTTGAGTATGTCTTTCTATTTGACTACATGTGTCTTGTTTGTCTGGTTTTAATTGTTTTGAACATTTAGTTTATTTTTCTTCTGGTATAATTAAATTTTAAAATTTAAATATTTACTTATTTGAACAGTTTATTTACTTCATATTTCATATTCCAGATTCTGAATTTCTTGCCATTCCAAATGCTGCATATCTGTCAGTCTAATTTCTTCTTTTAGAACTTTGCTGCTTTTGTTATCTTTCATTACTCTGTCCCACCCTAATATATTAATTCTCATCAGCAAATAAATATACTCTAGCATCTTCCGTCTTAAGAGAAAAAAATAAAACACCCCTTTTTATCCTTCACGTAATCATTCTAACCTGTCTCTCGCTTGTTTTTATTAGTACATATCACAGTATATAATGATTAAATTCATTGTAGATAATTGCTATATGTACATAACACATCTTAATTCTTTTTATACTCTTCTCTTCCTCCAGTTTTAAAATAATTTTTTAAAATATTTTTTTGCCAGCATCAGATTTATTTTTTTGTTAAGTCCTTTTCAAGTTAATTATCATTAAGTACAGATTAACAGCCAGACTAACAGGCAAAAAAACCATAAACACGTAAGACAATTATATTCAATCAAGGTACACTTTTAGATACCTTGTTCATTATTCTGTTTCTTAGGATCTTTATATGCTGTTAACAATTTGTTTTTAAAAACCTTTGTTTTATACTATTAAACATTTCAATCTTATAGAAAAATACAGAGAATATCACTTTCATATTAAGCAAATGCTAACATTTTGCTGTATATGCTGTAGGTTTCTCATTTGTGTGTTCTTTCTCCTACTGCCCCCCAAAGAAGCCTCTCTTGAAATTGCTAGGAGTCCTGTAATTGCTATTCACATTTCTGTACACGTATTTCTCTATAAACAAAATATACTAGTGTGATATGTGCTTAAATTTATATAAATTACATTCTACTGGGTATATTCTTTTGCAGTTGATTTTATTTTTAAAAAACTTGTGCTTTTTTCAATTATTAAGAGCCTAGTTTTGTTTAACTTTTTTAACCTAATTTATTCTATTTAACTATGTCCTGTAATTGTTTTTATAGTCTTCTGTCATTGAGTAGCTTTTATTTAATACTATCATCTTAATCAATTTTTTTGTTTTTTGTTTTTTGGTACCGGGGATCGAACTCCGGACCTTGCGCTTTCGAGGCAGGCTGTGGAACCACTGAGCTAAATCCCTGGCCCCCTCAAATTATCAATTTTTAAAAATTTAGAATCAGAAAGATTTAGAATCATATGGAAGGGCAAGAGGAAGTAACACATTTAGAGAGGTTACACTGTTTTGTTACTTGATTTGACTTGATTATTTAGGTATTTACACATTTTGCATATAACTTATTAGCAAAATGCTTTAAAATGAAAACATCTATATTTTAATAGTTTTAATGATTTGTGTCTTCACATCTGTATGCCTTACAGTGTAATCTTAATTTAGAATTTTTTTTTAGTATGTGAAGATGGTTCTAGTGTTCATCTTATACAATGTAGATGACAATTATGTCCATCATCCATTTATTTAGCAGTTCATTCTTTCTCCCCTGATTTATAATGCCTCGTTTGTCTATCAAGCTGCCATATATGTGGTCCATTTCCAGATACCTATACCCTTTCTGTCCATTTGTTGGATTTTGTTCAGCACCACATTTCCTTACTCAGTGTATCTTTCTTCTTTGTCTTCAAAATAAGTTTAGGTATTCTTGACCTTTCACTCTTCTAAATTGAATTTTAGAGTTCTACTTGGGAAGTATATGAAATACTCATTTGAGATTTCAGTTAGAATTGCATTGAATTTGTACATCAGTTTGGGGAAAATATTCTTTTAGATCTTTGTTATCTTTCACTAAACCTGTTTAAAGTAGGGTAGTGTGATTAAATATGTTTCATTATTTTAGATCTTGGCTTAGAATTTTGTTACACTGATATGGACATCTGATCCTAAATTAATTTTATTTGGATACTCCATTTTAGATTTTATTGCTGAAAAAAGATAACCTCACAAAGATACATAATGCCAAAATGGAAGACTTTTTGTTGTTGAAAACTGGACATTTGAATCTAATTGGCAACTTGAGAAATTTGGTACCTCTCCTATGCGGTTTACTGGGTTTTAAAAATTCTTATTTTTTATTGTTATGGGTAGTATCTTTGCCAAGGATTATCAACCTGAAGCATAAACTTAAGGTTCTCGTAGGTCTTTTCCAAGAGGAATGCACAGTGATTTTATAATTTTTCCTGTATTTACATTTGCCTTTGGATGACCTTTTTATTGTCTGCTCTGAAAAGGAAAAAAAGAGAAAAATGACAGGGAGGAAGAAAAGGGGTATTGGCCATTTAAATTGGGGAAAATCATTTCTGCTGGAAGGGTAGGAACTTGCAGCATTGGGTGAGGGTGTGGGTGTGAGTGGTGTACAACGACAGTGGCCACTGCCTCTGCACCAATTACAAGTCAGAACACAGGTCTCTGATATTTGGAGGAGAGTGTCCTTTTTTGCCCACTCCGCTTCTGGTAAGCATTATATCCTGGTTGCTATAGGAAAAGATACACAGCCACCTGTTGGGGTAGGAAGTAGTCACAGGATTAGAGTTCCAAAATAGTTCTGTCACACAGACTCTGCCAGTGCAGTTGTTGTCTAGGTGGAGAAACAGATTTCTGGTTCTTCCTACTCTGCCATCCTCCAAGAATCCTCTTAAGCATTTATGAGTGTGAGAAAACTAACCAGTGATTCTGTGTATAAGATTGTCACTTACCATCTCAGAGTGAGATTCTGCTTTTGAAGATAATATTCCTAGTTTTTGCTTAACTGGACAAATGTAAACAACTTCATGAAAGAGAAGAAACAACCAAAGGTACTATTGTAATCCTTTCCTGCTCCTCCATAGGCTCCTTAGGTTGATTTGTGGGTGTGTGGGTGTGTTTGCTTGCACACACATGCAAAACAGAACCAGATACTGCAGTAGTGTGAAGGCTGTGTTGAATATTAGTAAAACATTTCTGTATTGTATATGAATGTAGGTAAAATTGTCACTGGCTGAGTTCTTTAACTTGTAAAAGAGGTAAATTAGACATGGCCACTAGGAATTAGTAAAGAGGTTTGTTACAATCAAATATGATATAGGAGCGGGCTGCCTATAGAGCCCAGGAAAGAACAGCACAGGAGGAGACTGCACAGATAGAGCAACCGTGTAGCTGGGGTATAATGAGATTATGTATGTTTCCTATAAAAGTGTTAACATATATATAAGGAGTATAGTAACATGATACATATGCATGTGCATGAAGCAGTTGTCATGTGTGCATGGGTGATTTTGCACTCGGATTGATTTTATGATAGCATGTAGTTCCTCACTTTGGGTGTCTCTAAGTTTGTAAATGAGGGTCTTGGTTACCTTAGGTCAAGTCTCTGAGCAAAATTGATTCAAGTGGGCTCAGGACCCTCCTGTTTTGTCGTCTTTTGCAAAGAATAGGGTGAAGTTATGTGACACAGTCAGGTTTGAGACCTTTTGGTTTTTACTTCAGTGGAGTGGGATGAGGTTGCTGCAATGGTTATTTGCCTACAGAGGAATGTGTTTTCTTCCCTTGGTCACCAATCTTAGTCAGCAGCAGTCACAATTTACTGAATATCTCCTGCTTCAGAAGTTCTAATGTTTGTTTCTAGTGTCACCTTATTGTGCATCCTCTGTGCCTTCCCTATGTTGGGTGCCTCTCTAAGAAATTCAAAATATTGTCAGATTTATTTAAATTTGGTTATGTTATATATTTTCAGGGATCCAGTATTTTGGTTAGGAAAAAGGTAATGGTGGTTGTGGCTTGATGATGGATTCTTGGTGGTTTATTGTACTACTTACTTTGTTTATATTTGAAAATTTCCATAATTAAGTTTAAAAAATTGGCACAGTGATAGAAAATAGCAGTGAAGATCAGGCTGTGCATGTGGTTCTCTCTCCTGTCTGATAATGAGTATCTTTCCTATAGCTTTTCCAGTAGACTTTGTCTTATATCTCATTTGATTAAACTGTGTCATAGGATTCTTCCCCATCCCACTTTCCATTCATACTTTTATGTATTTAATGCTTTTAGGTTAATTGTATTTTTAAAGTTTACCTCAGTCTGCTTTGATTGTGGAATAAGTGGTTCTATAAAGAAAATGAGCAACTGATTGTGAAGTTTGATCTCTGGTATCCTTTTCTACCTATGAAATTCTACATTCTTACAAGTGAGGTATTTTAATATTATAAAATGGATTAGTGAAAGATATTAAAACATTGATATTTTTTAAAGTGGTTTTTTATGATGATGAATACATTTTAATTTCAAATTATGAAATGGAGCATTATTTTGTTCTGTAAATGTTATTTTCAGCTTTGAATTTGTTGTTAAGTAGTAATAAAAATGCTATATTTTCTTTCTTTTCAAGATATGGCATATATGAACGCTGCCGAGAATTGGTGGAAGCAGGTTATGATGTACGGCAACCAGACAAAGAAAATGTTACGCTTCTCCATTGGGCTGCTATCAATAACAGAATAGATTTAGTCAAGTATGTGTTTTCTGTGTTTTTAATTCATTAGTAGTTTTATTATAAAATTATTGAAAGTATTCTAAAAACGAATTATTTCTAAAATTTATGACTTCTTAAAGTGCATATGTGCACTTTTTTTCTTTAAAAAATTGCATTAGAGGTATAACAAAGATAAGGCAAAATAAAGGACCTTTATATTATGATGTGTACTTTATAAAATTATTTCATGTATATTGTTTAATCTACAGCAGTCTTATATGGAATGTAAAGTTTAAAAACCTGAGCTACTCAAAGTAGAGCATGTCTTGCCTATTCTATAAATGTTCGGATCCCATGTTTTGTATGCTGCTACTCAAATCTTTGAGATTCTCTGACCACTTTCCTTATTATATAATTATTTAGCATTTCAATTTTTTCGTAACTTAAAAATTTATTTTTCTTTTACTTCTAGAAAACAGGGAAGGTGATGCTTTTGACACAAAATTCTGCTGAATTTTTTTAAACTATCAAAAAAGATGGCTTATCTTCATAGGTGCAAAGTAGCATGAGATCTAAAATGGACTTTTTTTCTTTTAATATATGATTTCTTAAAAGTGAAAGCTGTCTAAAGTATTACAAATTTTGTCTTACAGATACTATATTTCGAAAGGTGCTATTGTGGATCAACTTGGAGGAGACCTGAATTCAACCCCTTTGCACTGGGCCACAAGGTTTAAATTTGCTTCTGGATTCTTTTTTCCTATGGTTATGATATTAGTATAAAACTATCATTTTTAAAATGTTATGCTACAATGAATGAGAGACTTTGTTATGCCAGTAGTTAATATCATTAAGGTACTAATATATTGTTTTCTGATGTTACCTGCATTGGAAGTAAAGCTTATTGTCCAAAATATCCTTAGGGAATTAGCTGTGCCAGTATTAATCCATTTATAAGGTTAGACTAAATTTTGAATTTATAAATGTAACACTTTTCCAGTCTACGTACATTTACAATTTAAGAACTAGTGGCCGGGGATTTATCTCAGTGGTTTTGCCGCCTGCTCCACAAGCGCAAGGACCCAAGTTCGATCCCCGGCACCAAAGAACTAGTGCAGTTCTTGGGATTGAGATCATACTGAGTAGAAATAATAGAATATAGTAATTTGATATTGTGTTTACAGAAGCTATGAATAGCTACATAGATTATCAGACTGTTATTCCAGTAAGACTTTTAGAAGCCATAGAATTCTAAATGTCTCTTGACATACATCTGTTTAAAAATAACTTTGTAAAATATATGTGTAATCTTTCTATTACCTTGTTTAAAAATACTCCAGAGCCAGGTGTGGTGGTGCATGCGTGTAATTTGGGAGGCTGAGGCAGAAGGATTGCTGTGAGTTCGAGGCCAGCCTAAGCTACATAGTGAGTTCAAGGCCAGCCTGAACTACATATACATAGCAAAACCCTGTCTCAAAACCCCCCCCAAAAAACAAAAACCCAAAAGCAAACACTCCAGGAGATCTTGTTCGAAATAACTTTATATAAGTATTCTTTTATGTTTTAGACAAGGCCATCTATCCATGGTTGTACAACTAATGAAATATGGTGCCGATCCTTCATTAATTGATGGGGAAGGATGTAGCTGTATTCATCTGGCTGCTCAGTTTGGACATACTTCAATTGTTGCTTATCTCATAGCAAAAGGACAGGTAAAAATATCACAGTGGTGTGGATTTTAATCATGTATCTTTCATGGTTAAATGCCTAATATATTTGGTGTTACATGTGTAACAACCTGGTGATATTTTAGGAATACTTTCTGATGGATGAAGAAAATAAATATATAGTTAATCTGATATTGAAGTTTTACTGTACTTAACGGAAAAGTAAGAATCATGAATTGACTAAGTTGGTTTTTTTATTTCTGAGAGTGACAGAAATAAATCTTGGAAAGTAAAGGAGAAAATTTGGTTATCTACTTTTTCCCTACTTATGTTTTTTGAATATATTATCTAATGTCATCTAAACTTTTGGAAGTTATTTATTGGTTATGTTCTATTTTAATACATCTCTAGAAGAATAGTTTCTTCAAGATCAGTTTCTATTTTCTGCTCTATAAAATAATACTTCTTATTGTCAGAAAACTGTGATGATTTAAGTTCTTTCTCCTGATTTTTCTTGAATGTGCGGCAGTGACCATAATCACACTAAATATTATGAGGGTATATTACTATGTTTTGTATGAATATACTTTCTTAAGAGTAATGTCACCCAGTTTTTCTTCCAGTGTTTTCCTAGTTATACTTACATATTAATTTTATAAATAAGCATGTTATCACAAGAGTAACTAAGATAAATGAGTTTAATTTATTGCTCTTGACATTTATTATTTGAATTTAAATTTTTATGCTGACTCAGAATTTGAGTAGTATTTTTTTCTAATTAGTTATTTAAAATGTTTATTTTTGGCAGTATTAAGCAATAGCAGTTACGTTTTGTGTTTAACCTTAGGAAAGGAGGCATAGACTTACTAAGTTAATTGCTGGAAGGAGGAGTTTATTACTGTGTTAACAAACTATCCCCAAAATTCATGGTTAAGAGCAGTACCAATCATTATATCTCACAGTTCTGTGAGTTGAATGGGCTTGGCTCGGTGGTTCTTTTACTTGCAGTAGTGGCTGGGGGTTGTTATCTAGGCTTTTGACTAGTCTGAAGGGTTGACTCACTTTATACATCATCTTGTGCCTCGATAGAAATGAATAGAAGACTATTCTTAGCTAAGATGCTGGGACAGCTGTTCCTCTGTCTTTCTTCATGCGGTGTCAGAACTTCTCAGTATCACTTCATGTAGTCTTCTCAGCAGAGAACTAAAATTCTTCAATGGTGCTCAAGCTCCTAAAAGAACAAAGGCAGAAGGTGTTCTTCTTTAAGTCTTAGGTCTTAAATTGGCACAGCAACATTTCTGATCCTTTTTGTCAATTAAAGTACAGACCTTGTCCAGCCTGTGTTTAGTGTGAGAAAGGGTAACACAAGGTTGTGAATACCAGGGGATGAGGTCTTTTGGGGCCATCTTTGAAGTCCAGAAAGGGATTATCCTTATTCTTCTACAGTTTCTCCTAGAGCAGGGGTTGAAGAATTAATGATACATATTCACCTTTGTTTTTTCAGTTTTTAACTGGGGAAGAAAAGTGGTATAAATTTTTGAGTTTTCATGGGTTTTTTTGTTGTTATTGTTGATTTTGCAGTTTGGGTGATTTTTATTAATTAATTAATTAAATTATTATTATTTTTTTGTACTGGGGATCGAACTCGGGTCCTTGCGCTTGCACAGCAGGCGGTGAAACCACTGAGCTAAATCCCCGGCCCTATTAATCTTTTTAAATCCAGCATCATATGCAGACTATAAAATTCTCAAAGAGTAAAATTTCTACCTATTATATTGTTTTTTTGTACGAAAATGATGAATCTGACAAAGTATTTTTCCTATGACTAATTTTTTCTGCATATAAAAATAACACATGCTTACTGTAAAATATCCAAACATAATATAAGGGTATGACTTAGAAGAAATCTCACTTCTCTTCTTGCCCACCTGACCCTGAGATTACTTACTAACAGTTTAATTTGTTCTTCCAGATTTTTTCATGTGTACACTAGTGTGTGTATAAGACACTTCTACTGTGTGTTGCCTTCTAACTTTGCATGGGTTCCAGTGAGCTTCCCTTCTGTCATCTCGCCTTCATCACTTTGCTTCAACCACACCACTCTCAATGCTGTTCTTGAGCAACTCTGACTTGCTTGTTCTCAGCACCTTCGTGTTTGCTGTTCCTACTGGTGGTGTGTCCCTTTCTCAGATGGCTACTGTTCTCTCTGTTCAGTCAGCTTTTTTTCCCTTAATGGTACCAGGGATCAAACTCAGGACCTTGAACTTGCAGGGCAGGGGTGGTGCCACGGAGCTAGATCCCCGGCCCATGGTTGCTCAAACTTTGTTAGTTCTAGTTAATTCTCAATTATAAATAATAATAAAATTAGTATATTTTTATCTAATTTTTTCTTTTGTAGTCTTTCTTTGACTTTAGTCATTATTTTTCTTAGTTAACCTTGTTATGATAAACTTAATTTTTCAACTTTAAATAATACTCTCTGACTCATATCTATGAGGGGTGAGGCTCATAGCATACTTTCTTTTCAGTACCCCCTCATTTTTTACTGTATCAATTTTACATTGAAGTAGTTCTATCAATTTTACATTGTTGAGGCATTCAACATTTCCATTCAATTTTGTCATTCTTCACAACTTTATTTCACTTATCTGTTCAGTATATTCGGTGCTCAGTACCAGTTCTTTTGGGTGATTTTCAAGAGAAAAAGGGGAAAATGCTAATTTATGGTGTTCTGTTGATTATGGAATTCTCATAAGCTTTTGATCTTGGCTTGTTAATTTTTCCTAATAGAGAATACACATACATCCATTTGGAAAAGAAGTACCAAGTTTTAAATTATAACCCAATGAGAGGAAAAGTTTGAATGAATTTCATTTTCCTTTTAGTACTCGAGATGTGGCATAATTTTACATATTTTATTACTACTTTTTAAAAAGGATATAAAAGACTTATATCTAACAGTAAGAAACTTAAGAATTTACACGTTTAGGGGCCGAGGACAGTTCAGTGATGGAATGCCTACTTGGCATGTGTGAGGCCTTTGGTTTGATTCCCAGCACCGCCCCCCCTCCCCCCAAAAAAGAAAGAATTTACTAAGTTTACTTAGATTAGATATTAGGGCAATAATAAAGTGCCTTCCTCATATACAAAACAAAGAAGTTTGTGTCATTTCTTTGAAAATATTTTTTAAATCAAGTGATAATTTTAAAAAATTGACCTGTATTTAGAACTATTGGTTGAGGTTACAGAAGATATATTTGGGAACACTAAAAATACAGAAATGGGTTTATAATGGATAAGACATAACCTTTTATACAGTATTCATGGCGAAGGACTAAGAAATGTCATCCAAGGATGTACTCTATTTCTCTAGTGTAATGGTTTTTAACGCTGCATTTTTTTCCCTCAGTTCATTTGGATAATGTTCACATTTGAGACATGGTCCCATCAGTAATAATGGTTCACAGAGAACTACAGCATAGAGATAACCAGTGTTTTACAGTGTACTTACTGTAACTCTACTCTTCCACTGATGGTAGATTTGCAACACAACTTGGATTAGAACTTCTTGTGTAATATAACCAAGAAATGGGATATGGGAGAGGAAAGCAGAAGAAACTTGGTATTTATTGAGGGTCTGTTATGTTCCAGACTGTGGACTGGCTTTATGTTACTCTATTTAATCATCATGGAAGTCTTATGAAATTATTTGTGTCCACATTTTTTGGCTGACATACTTAGACTCAGAAAATTAATTTTGCCCACTATCTTAGTGATTAAAGATGGAACTAGAAATTGAGAACCATATCTATCTTATTCTAAACCTCTTATGCCTTTCCCAGGTCTAGAAGAGTAACTATGAAAACGTGGGGGTTTTTTGGTACAGGGGATTGAACTCAGGACCTTGCGCTTGCAAGGCAGGCAGCGGAACCACTGAGCTAAATCCCCGGCCCGAAAACATGTCTTTTTAATACATGGTTTTGATCATTTACTTTGCTAGGCACTGAGAATACTAAGGTGGATTTAATGTAATTTTGGTACTCAAAGAATTTCTGTTCCAGTTAATGAGACAAATGCTCCAGGCAGAGACAATAATCAGACTACATTGGAGTGTGTTAGGAAGGGTAATTGCAGAGCAGTGAAACTGATAGAATCTCTGACAACAATAGAATGTCTTGGAAGGAAATTTAGAGAACTAGGAAAGATTTTGATTTAGTAGTTGATAGCTTTAATTTTAATTTGCTGTAAATTAAACCAACAGGATAAAAAGTTCCAGGGAAAACAAAAAGTTGAGTAGAAGAAGAAAATTATAGCCTACTCTTTTGTTTGGCTAGGAAGAGTATTTATGCATATTGAATAAAAATATCAAATACATAATCTGAATTGCAATAAATGTCTCAAGAGGAAAGAATAGGAAAGGTGCTTATCTGTGATGGATCAGGGAGAGGAGAGATAACAAATTCTCATTTTTCATACTCAGGAGTCTCAGAAGACAGTACTTGAAGCTGAAAAATCAAGTAGCAATTCAAACACTTTTCTTAAAGATATGATGCTATGGGGCCAGGGATTTTAGCTCAGTCGTTCTGGCGCCAGATTGGCAAGCTCAAGGTCCTGAGTTTGATCCCCGGTACCCAAAAAAAAGACATGAAGCTAATAATGAGCTAAAAACAAGCTGGGCATGGTGGAAAGGCACAGGATTGCTTTTTTCTCACAATTTTGCAGAACTGTTTAACTCTAAAAATACATACATAACAATAAAATATTAAACTTGAATTTATCAAAAAGTTGGGTTTTATTCTTTGTTTTGATATGCCAGTGGATAAATGGGGTTTTGTTAGTCCCTCTTAACATTAGTATAAACAAATTTTTCAGCGACTTAATCTGTCCTTTGTAGCTTAAAGATCAGAATATATCAAGATTTTTAAATGTAAAATACTTAAAAGGGAAAACTATAAAAGTATAACATGTTAATTAAAATAGTGGCTATACTGAAAGTTAAAGAGAAAATTTCATAAATCATCCTTATTACTACATTGGCCTCTCCTATAATGTGTAAATTAGATTTTTCCAAGTAATTTTGGTTAGGAACTTATAAAATTTTACTGTCTGACTTTATCAGGATGTAGATATGATGGATCAGAATGGAATGACACCTTTAATGTGGGCAGCTTATAGAACACATAGGTATGTAACCATTATAAAATACTTACTCAGATAATATGAAACAAGTGATGAGGAAAAGCAGTAACTTATATACTTAACTAACTTATTACGATGACTAGTATATAACATAAATTACCTCTTTGAATGTTTTGGTGTCTCTGTTTACCGCTACCTCAATGTTTGTAGCTTCCATAATCTGTGGCTCCTTTTAACAGTTCCAAAAAAATGAAAGAAGAGGTTATCTTCTTTAAAAAAGTAATTTTTCATGTGATTTACATATTGACAAATTTAATGTATTGATTTGTAAGTTGTTTTAAATATTTGTGGAATAGTCTAGATTGAAATTAAAATATTTATTTAAAAAATTATTTAGTGTTAATAACATCAGTTCCTACATCAAAAATAGAAAATGTCAGGACCATGTATTCTGTCCCTTGAAACTATATTGCTTATATGATTTGCATATACTTAAAACTTACTATTAAAATATTGTCTCATTATAAAGTTGTTCAGTAGGTTAGAATAGAAGTGTTCCGAAATGGAATACAGATGTAACCGCAGTCAGTGTAGTATTTGTAATGATTTCGATAATTGAAATTAGGGTTGTTGTTGTTGTTTTGTTTTGTTTTTTTTCCTTTTCAGTGTGGATCCAACTAGATTGCTTTTAACATTCAATGTTTCAGTTAACCTTGGTGACAAGTATCACAAAAACACTGCTCTGCACTGGGCAGTACTAGCAGGGAATACCACAGTCATTAGTCTTCTTTTGGAAGCTGGAGCTAACGTCGATGCCCAGAATATTAAGGTAAATGCAAACAATTTTGATGATGATATGTGAAATGTGACTTTTAATATATGAATTCCTCAATAAAACAGGTTTTTCATAGATTGTGAAAGTTCAAAGAAACTTCCTTTATATCTCAACTCTTTAGTTCTGGGTAATAATTGGTTTTCAAATATTGGATCACTTACTTTCATATTGCAGTATTGAAGTAACTCTTAAAATTTTGCCCTTCGTTGCTTTAATGAATGCATACTCCTTTTGGAAATTAGATTATATAACTTTTTGTAGATGAAAAGAAATACTTTGGTGGTTTCTTAAGATCATTACAGACAATTTAAGTTTGTAGCTAAACCCCTTGTCATAGATTTTAGTAATTCTTGACTTGGTCATTTTATTGCTTTTTTTTTAAGGTCAGAACTTTAAAATTTGATAAATACCTTTATGCTATTTATAGGAGACTCCCCCCCCACACCCAAATGGTGAACTAACACAGGAAAAGTACAAAATTGTCTTAACAGCCAAGCACAATTAACGTTTACTCTTTTGAATATTTAGATATTTGTAGGCATTTTATGAATACATGTAAGAAGAATCTATTGGTAATCTTAAATTTTGGTTAATCCTTCTCATTTTTATAGCTTCAGGATCCACCAAAACGAGTCTTTCAGCAACAGGACTCTTTCTGTGAAATGGCTTTAAACATCATTGTTAGAAGTGACTGTGCCCATTGAAAAATGTTCTTTAATTTTAGCTATAATTCATGGTATTTTCTGAGTCATGTTTCATAAATGTCTAAAGAATATGAGCTAATTAAATATGAAGAGAGTTCAGCCACATGCTTACCTGAAATCGCCAATCAAAAAGTAGGTCTTTCTTGCTGGATCAGGGCATCTCTTTACATTCCAATGAGTAGTTCATCCTTGGTTTGGTTACTTTAAGAAGAGAAGTTTAAACTACTAAAATACAAGAGCTTGGACTAGTTTTTAACTATAATTTATTTAAAGTTATACCAATTTTTAGAAATGAATCTAATTACAAATATAGTTAAAATAAATACCTAATACTGGAAATTAGGAAATTGATAAAATCATGTACATATTTTCTTTCTTTTTTTAAACTTCCAACTCATCTTGTCTCCACCCAAGTGCTCGAATGATCCAGTAACTGCCACCGAACACAGTGAAAGAGGAAAGTCACCATAGCATACCATACCATAGTGGCTGACACTTGAATGATGGTCATTCCCAGTATTTACTGGCTGAATGAATGAAGATTTGCACATCTGCCAAGATTTGTTTCTGCCACTTGGGAATTATGGAGAAATTTTTGCTTTTCCAAAAATTGTTAACTAGGGTGCTTTGTAAAGTTTGTATACTAGAATTAGTAAATTAGGCAGAACCCAGGACAAAAGATGAGGAAGAAGTTTGACTAAACCTGGTTTGACTAATACTGCTTAGTATTCCCATAAGAAAAGTTCAGTGAGGTTTGCTCACGTTTTCTTATCTGAATTGCTTCTGTTACTTTTCTTCTCTTTGCTGCTTAGATGCACATTCCTAAAGTGGTGATGTGCGAGGAATACATTTCCAGATATTTAGTGTTACAATACTGAAAAAGTTGAACCAATTTCAAGATAACAAATAGTAAAATTCTGTGTACTTTCTTCTGCCAGTAGCCATATAGTATATTGAAACTGCAGTAATGCCATAGAACTTTCGTAATAAGGTGACTACCTGGTTTTGTAATTTGAAACCAGCAATATGTTTTTAGAGTTTTTTAAACATCATTTCTATCCATAAAAAAATTTAAATAACTTCTCTTCTATCGTGATCTTTTAAGTATTTGAGGTATGGTTTATAATTTTAACATCTTTTCATATAAGTAATGAAAAGTTGTGATCCCTGTTAACCATTGCATAAATCTTTAATCTTAGTAAAAGAAATAATCTGTAATGAATTTCAATAAAATGGTAATGGTAAGAATAAAGGAAATTATTTAAATGATTTTGTATTTTTAAAAAAATTGTATTGTACATTGAGGCACATTAGTTACACAGAGATCTGTAAAATGGTATGTAGCTTCCTTGACTTTATTTTAATTCATGTATGTTTTTCCTACACACATTCTTCTTATTGTTTTGATTTCTGACACATACATTCAAGGTGAACTGGAGTGACATTAGTTGTAGAAAATAAAATCTAAGGTATTTCATTTGCTCAGGCAGCATTTATACTCTCAAGGAAAAGTTACCTTTTTATTTGCTTTGTTGAAAAGTAGATTTTTGTTTTAAAATGCACTTTTTATGTTATTAAGAGATTGAAGTTGCCTTTTCTGCTGGGATCTAGCATTTCCAGTGAACTTGAATTAGTCACCACCTTCTAATAGAAACCATTTTTTTTTTTTTTTAACTCAGCAGTACTTGTTCAGTGATGGGTGGTGAAAATGTTTGACAAATAAGGTCCCTATTCTCTCAGAACTTAAATTCTGTTGAAAACATAACCAGTTATATACAGAGAGATATGTGGAGGAAAACTTTCCACGTAGAGGAACGTGCAAATAAAAGGTCCTAAACAGGCTGTCATGGTTGAGGTACAAAAAAAGGACAGCTTGACCAGAGTACAATGAGCAAAGAAATGAAGTTGGTTGAGAAAGGTAGGTGTCAGCTATGCAGCACCATTATGAGAAGCTTTAATTGTATTCTCAAGTCATGAGAAGCAGATAGAAGGACTTAGAGAGTCTGGTGATAGGATGTGGTCTTGTTGTATAATCTTCAGAATATTACTTTGGCTGAGAAAGAAGCATTAAGAATTTTTTTAAGTGGAAAGGATGGGGGATCATTTAGTCTGTTGTGATAAATCAGGCAAAGGGTGATGTTAGCTTAGCCTAGGACCCAAAAAGTAGAAATGGCAGGAAGTGAATGGATTTGGATATGACATTTTAGAATAGAAATAAAAGAAAATATTGATGACTTAGCTTTCTTTTAATTAACTGAATTTCTTGTTGTATATGTTGAGATTGTGAAGATAGAATGAGAAATACTTTTTGAGGGTGATAGGAATTGATTCTGTTAATATATTTGAAGTGCCTTTTAGCTATGTTCTATATTAAGCTAATTAAGTACATTTAGATTGCTGCAGATTTTGAAAGAAAAATTCACTTTTTCACTAAGAAAACCATAGATTCTTTGTCCAGAAACTTGGCAAAGTTTATTTACTTATTTATACCTGTATTTTTTTTTTCATTTTAAATCTTAGGAAAATCTAATTAATAAAAATGATCTGAAACAGTAGGTAGCTCACAAATCTGGATTTGACTTTAAGAGCAATAAAGAGTTACATTCTTCAAAGATACGAAAAATTATACATTATATTATACAACTATTGGTTGATCCTGTTTCTTCTAAAATATTTTCAGGGCTGGGGATTTAGCTCAGTGGTTCCGCCGCCTGCCTCGCAAGTGCAATGTCCCGAGTTTGATCCCTGGTACCAAAAAAAATTATTTTCCTTATAAGATTAAACTGGTTCCTTAAAAATATTACTTTGAGACTTGTCTTTGTAAATTAACCTGAGTAAGGAATTAAATTTTAAATATATAAAGAAATGGATCTTCTATAGAAATAAGGGAATTTTGAAGACAGTTGATACTAAATGATAGATAAATTTAAAATAATTTTTGATTCTCACTCTGGAGTCTTCCAGGGGACATTGGGTAGAATGGGTCCACGGACCCCTAAAATTGTTAGAGAAAAAGTTACCTGCATTAGCATTTTTCTGAAGAGAAGATTATTAGCTTTAATTAAATATAACTCAATAGAATTTAGAACCATGATGCTAGATAACAGTTACATAGAATAGACTTAAATCTTTTCTTGTTAAACAACAACAATAGAAGGAAAAAGTAATTTGGTATACTAAAAATAAAAATCAAAACTATAGTCTATGCCATAGTCATTGTTTGGGGAGTGTTTCATTTCTGAAATTTTTTTTCCCTGGTACCAAGGATCAAACTCAGGACCACTGAGCTAAATCCCTGGCTTCATTTCTGAATTTTTAAAACATTTTATCCCCTAGCATGTTTTTAGTTATATAGGTATATTTAGATGAATTGAGTTTGATGGAAACAAATTTTGAGTGCTACTCAAGCCCTCAAATTGTAATATTTTCTTTCTAAAATTATAAAAGGCCATAAATATTAGTTTGTATAGAATACAAAATTATTGAACACCATTAATAATTGAAAGATCTCACATGGTTTCTTCAAAGGAGGAAAGAAACTTTTCAGAAAATAATTATTTATTACCTCTTGAATACCTGACCTAGATGGTCTCTGAGGAATTTTCCTTAATCTTGTCAGTGAATTTCAGTCTCATTTAGACAAAGCTGCCATACTGTATATCTGACCAAAACCCTTGAAGAATTTCTTTTATAACCACTTACATAAGCTATAAATGCTCCATGTGGATTCTTGCTGATGTTGCTGTTGTACTATTATTTATTAGTTTTGCTGAGACATGGAGTGATCAAATAAAGTCTTAATTCAGAACCCTGGTTTTAGTGTAATTTTTAAAAATAATTGCTTGCTTACCAGCTGAATACAAGAACTATACAGAAATAGTCAGATGACTAGAGGAGTAGTTTAAAGATCTTTTTTAAAGCACCCTCAATCTTTTTGTCTAGGCAATCCTTAGGTGTCACATGGCCCTCTAGTGGAAGGGATGCTCAGCTGGACCGAGGCAACTGCAGGATATTCTCTGGGAGTTGTTACCCAAGGGATTGCTTTTATTCAGGTAATATTTATAGTTTGGATTAATTAGCTGGTTGTGACAACTTAGGTGATGGAATTCTGGAACAAGCAAGGAGATATTTAAAATAAACACCCCTAATTGTGAAAGACTCACCTAGATTAGCCCATTCCTTATTAAATAATGTTGTATATTAAAAGATTGGTTGGGCTTTTTGTTGTTGTTTTGTAATAGTTGTTGCTGTTGGTGGTAGTGGTATGTTTTATTTGTTTTTTTTTTTTGAGAAATAAAACACTCCATTCTTGATCAGTAATCATCCCTCATGAGTAAGGCACTATAAGATTCCTTATTTCTTTGTTCTTTTTCACCTAACATTTTGAAAAAATTTTTCATTGTTTATTTTTCTAAATCAGTTTGAGTAGCCATCTATACATTCTTTAAATTTTGACAAACAGCAATTGTAATTTCACTTTTCTATTTAAAAGAAGTAGATAAATACCAGAAGACACTGAATAGAATGAAAATGTAGGTGTCTGACTAATTTGCAAAAGGAGAAATGTAAATTTAAATTAGTAAAAGAAGAAAAGGAACATAGAGCTAGGATTGGAATGTTTATGTCTTGTTTCTTACTTCATTTCATACATTTTAGTCCTAATCACTTACACTCCTAGGCATTCTTTTGTTTATATTAAAGGGACCTGCTATAAGTTCATAATTTGAACTAAACTACTTTTTAAAAATTCACTTTTCTTAATCGCTTTGGAAAGTTCTGGATAATTTATTATAAGTAGGTCAAGAATGCCAGTACAATAGTAGCAGAAGTAGAACTTGACTTTTCTTTTTCTTCCCTGTTCTCTTCTTAAGGCTCTTTCCATCATTGAAGTAAAACTGAAAGACATCTGGCAACTTATGTAGTAGGATGTTTTGTAGCAGTAAATACTACTAATGAGATCTTTAAAGTATAAAATTACTGATAAATCTAGTGACAGCCACTGATCCAGCAGGTATTAAAATACCTACTTTTTGATTTGCTCTCTAATATATCCAAATGCAAGCAAAAGTAGTATACAAAATAAGGTGAGAAAATGCACTTTCTGATTGTACTTTGGGAAATCATAACAAATATGTAATGATTTAGGTTCTTTAAATTGATTCTACCCAGTGTCAAACAATGTTAGTGAGTTAATAATGTGGTCAGTTTATTTTTATGGAAGTGCTTTAAAAGTTATTAGTGAAATATTCTGAGTTTTATTTTAATGTGAATTTCTTCTAATTATCTTATCAGGGTGAATCAGCACTTGATTTGGCAAAGCAAAGAAAAAATGTGTGGATGATCAACCATTTGCAAGAGGCTAGGCAAGCAAAGGGATATGACAATCCATCTTTCCTTAGAAAGCTAAAAGCTGATAAGGTAAATGCATAACTGAAATTTTTCATTCTCTAAACTTTCAAGATTTGTAGCTGTATTTACTTAGATTGAATATTCACAGACTTTAATTTTTCCATTTCCCAATGTGATTTTAGAAATATTTTACCCAGAATACAATGAAGGTAAACAACAAAGTTTCTCAGGGCTTTGCTTAAGTAAAGATCTAGGTTGCCTAATAATTAAGAGGCATGGATATATATGAAATTATTTAAATCTCCGTAGGTTATAATATAAATTTAAGTTAATTGATTCAACTCTCTGTTAAATTATATATATAAATAAAGGTTTTTTTTCTTGTATATGTTCATTTGTTTGAATGGTAATAAATTGTGAAGCACTTCAGTCCTAATATGTGTCTTTTTCAAACTAGCAACTGTGGCTCTAATTTAAGTTTTCTCTTTTATTATGATACTGTGCAACTTTTTTTTTTTTTTTTCTCGGAGAAAGCTTACATTCTTGACTACTGCATGGAAAATTCATTTTAGATCATCCATATACTTTCAGTTTTAAACTGTATAAGTGTTGGCTCAATTGCCTAATGATAATTTCAAAACTTAAAATATTTTACCAAAAGGTGTGGGTCTAGATTCCTTAAAAACAGTATTTCCACCAAAAAAGGAGAAATTGACTAACATTTTTTTATATACCCAAATAGTTGACAGTGAGTGTATCTATCAGTAACTAGTTTCTGAGTGCGATTAAGTTTTGAGTACCTTCTAATGTATATCTTTCTCAGGCTGCTCTAGTGGTAATGATACTAATTGTTTAAAGTTAACACTGATTTATTATCAAGAGGGAAAAGTCAGGGAATGAAGGGAAACACACTTGAAATCAGTGCCTCATTTACTTACAAGAATTTAAATTCCCTTAATGAGTCAAAAAGTTTCCTGCTCTTTTCATAGACATCAGAACAATTAAACTTGCTTATGTTCAAACCCCATAGCTGAGAATAATGAATAATTTTTCATGTCATATTAATGCTTTTAGTTAATTGTTAGATATGATGTAGAAAATAATGTATTTATTTTGATATTACCTTGCCCTCTAAACTTTAGAGCAGTTTACTTAACAGAGTGAAAAGTGACTAATAACTAATGATAATTAGGCTAATAACAAAAATATGTTACTCTGCAAAATCACATAATCTTTATGCTTTCATTTTGTTGATTGTAAATATTCTGAAGTTTTATATGTATATATTCAGATGAAAATAACTTTTTAAAGTTTAGATGTATTAATATGAATAGTTGTGTAGCATAATGAAATACATATAAAGTTAATGTGTTTAGGTATAATTTCTTTTTAAAAATAAAGCTTCATGGGCCGGGAATTTAGCTCAGTGTCACTGCACCTGCCTCACAAGCACAAGGTCCTGAGTTCGATCCCTGGTACCAAAAAACTCCCCAAAAAACAAAAACAAAGTTTCATAAAAAATTTATGAGATACTTAATTTAACATTTGCACGTTAGTATGATTAGTTCAGAAGTTGAGTTTTTCCCTGTTTTTCTTTCCATTAGTAGCTTTAAATATATTAAAATTTTAAAGGGCCACAGGTTATATGCATGTATACACAGAGAGATAGAGACAGAGAGATCATTTATTTTTCCATCTCACATTAGGAAAATTTAAATCATAAACATGATATTGTTTGATAACCTATGGAAGTATGTTTTGTAACTAAAACTAAGAAAGAATAAGAAAATAGTGATACCTAGGACTAAATATTATTTTATTTTTAAAAAAATTATCCCCAAAGGAGAGGAAGTGTTTTTGGACAATGTTAGTAGGCTGACATGGAAGAAATCTTGATTTTAGGAAATATTTTAGAAGCTCTTGAATGTTTAAGATTAGAAGATTTTAAACAGGCAGATAGGGGCCGGGGATTTAGCTCAGTGGTTCCAACACCTGCCTCGCAAGCGCAAGGTCCTGAGTTCAATCCCCGGTACCAAAAAAAAAAGGCAGATAATGGTTAAACACATGTGCAGTATTTAATAGAAGGTTGGAGAAAAATCTCTAGTTTTTCCTCAATATTTTAAAATCCATGACCCAGTAAGTGATATATGTATATTCTTCTTTTGAATATTTATTATATGAAAATAAATCTAGGAAGATGGAATAGATGTACTTTTTCCTATTCCTCCCACTAAATATACTGAAGACCATTGACACCAAATGCAAAATTAGATGTTGTAGGACTCTTAGAGGAAAAGGTAGAGTGGCTGGGGACTCAGTACCTGATGGTGGTGAGTTCTGTGGGTTTACTTTTTGGCCCATTTACCCAAGAATAGGGATTGACAAAGCTGGCAACCCAGAATCACAAGTGAGTGCAGACAAAAATGGCCTGAACTAAATAAAGCCTACACTTTACCCCATCCCCCATGAATCTTGAAATCCTTTTGTCAATAAGTCAGTGTAGTCTACTATACTAACAAAGAAGAAAAATCTTAAGATTTATATCAATCATGCAGGAAAAAAACATTTCCTAGAAATCAATATACATTCATGATAAAAACACTCAGATAAATAGTAATTGAGTTCACAATTTTATGAAGAACATTTATAAAATCTACAACAAGCATTGTACTTGGTAATGAAAAACTGAGTGCTTTTACTGCTAAATCAACAAGGCAAAGACATCCATCTGACTGCTCTTATTCAACATAATACTAGAAGTTCTAGTTATTGCAATAAAGAAAAAAAAATTAAAGGGTTATATAAATCAGAAAGGGGGGAAAAGTATCCCTGTTTATAATCTTACATGATTATCTGTGAAAATCTCAAGAAATCTACTTTAAAAGGACGTTCTTAGAACTAGTAAAGTAGTTCAACAAGATTCCAAGATAAAAGATAAGCTATACAAAAATCCATTTTCTTTTTATTGGAGTAAACATATGGACACCAAAATTAAGAGTACATTTAGAGCTGGAAATGTTTCAAAAATTTTATTAAAATTCTTAGATGTAAGTGTAACAAAAAATGTAATGTATACTGAAATCAAAAAATGTTGACGAAAGAAATAAAAAATGATCTAACAAAGTGGAAAAAGAATTTGTTCATAAACTGGAAGAGTCAACATTGCAAATGTTTCAGTTGGTATGAATTGATGGACAAATTTAGTGCAATCCTGTCAGAATTTCAGCAAGAGGTTATATATATATAATCAAGATTATTCTAAGGTTATTCTGGACCTGGAAGAGCTAAAAATTTTGCAAAAGAGGAATCATCACCTATTTTCTGTATACTTTGATCTGTTCTATAGCTACAGTAATCAATATGTTGTGATACTGCTGGAGCGAAAACCTTACAGATCAATGGAACAGAATATAGCCCAGGAATAGAACCACAAAGATATTCTCACATTTGACAGAAGTGCAAAAGCAGTTCCATGAAAATAAATAGTCTTTTTCACCTAGTATTTTAGGAACACTTGAACATCCCTAGGCAAAAACGAACTAAGTAAAATAAACATTGACTCAAACCTTATTTAAAAATTAACTCAGAATGGTTTGATATAAGATATAACATTATTACCTTTAGAATAGAAATAGGAAAATGTCGTCAAGATCTTGAGCTATGCAAAGAGTTAATTAGAATTGACATGAAAAGTACAATTCATGAAAGGGAAAAAGTGATAAACCAGACTTAATGGGAACTTGAAGTTTTTGCTCTATTAAAGACCCTAAGAAGAGAGTAAAAGGATAAGCTTTAGGCTGGAAGATAATATTGGCAAGCCATATGTCCAACAAAAGGGTAGTGTCCAGATATATAAAGAACTGTCAAAACTCAACAGGGAAAAATTGAGGAATCCAACTGAAAATGAGTAAAAGATCTGAAGATATATTTCATTAAAGAAGGTGTCCAGGTGGCAGATCAGCACATGAAGAGATAGTCAACATCATTAGCCAGTAGAGAAATGCAGATCACCTACACCATAGTGATATACCTATCAGAATAAGGAGGGAAGTTGTATGTTTATAGTGATGAAATATATATATATATATATATGTGTGTGTGTGTGTGTGTGTGTGTTTTAAATATTTTATATTTTGATTGTATTGGGATTAATTTGTTGGCTGTGATATATAGAACTGTTTGGTCTTGAACTCATGGGGATCCTCCTGCCTCAGCTTCCTGAGTGTTAGGATTACAGGCGTGTGCCACTACACCTGGCTAGGAACAAACTGTTGACACAACAACATGGTTAAATGTCATCTACATTCTCTTAAGTGAAAGAAACCAGACCTAAAAGGTTACATTCATTATGATTAAATTTATATGACATTCTTGCCCACAATTTACAGAGATAGAAATTAGATTCATAGTTACCTGAGGCTGAACTGAAGGACATTGAGGAATTTTAGGACTTGACAGAAACTGTTATGTATCTTTACTTTGCTGCAGGTTATACCATTTACATGTTAATCAAGACTTGGAGAATTATGCATAAAAAGTGATCAGTTTTACTCTATATAAATAACATCTTTGCACCCGGGATGTAGCTCAGCGGCACAGTGCCTGATCTGCCAAGTGTGAAGCCCTGAGTTCGATTGCTGATACAAAAAAAAAAAATAGTGTCTTTACTTAAAATACGATTACTGCTGAGGGAAAACAGTCGTTTTAACTAAAATCAAATTAAAGATAATTTTAGAAAATACTTTTTCATATGGTGATGTCTGTTCTCTTCCTCCAGTACCTATATATACTCTCCTCCAAGTAATCTCTGTATGTTGATACAAGGTTCACATGTACTAGAAAAATATTGGAATAATTGTTATACTACAACAAAATTAAAGTCTGAAATTGATCTGTAATTATCAGTCTAAGTTAAAATTACACATTTATTCAGAAAATGAGTTACAGTTGTGAAATGGGTAAAATGGGATCATTTATATGAAAAAATGTTTATTTCCCTAGAAGCCAATAGTATGAAAAAGGTGCTAAAATGTGTAATATAATTTTAGCCATTAGACAGATATTCAAAGAAGAAGGTAATATTCCTACTATGGGCTTTGTTAGACCACAAATCTCCCATATCTGATGGTGTAGAACTTACTCTTAACACTATTCTCATTTTTCACAGTCTTAAAAAAGTCCTTTTAAATTGTTTGTTTAGTGTCTCCAGAGACCAGCATCTTAAATAATGGCTGCATATATTAGTTGTATTTGAATGATGAATTTCACCTTTTGTTGCATGCTTTTACAAAGACAACAGTGATCCTTCTTAAGGTTATTTGGAACTTTATAATTGTTTTGTTTCTGTACAGGAATTTCGGCAGAAAGTAATGCTAGGAACTCCATTCCTAGTTATTTGGCTAGTTGGGTTTATAGCAGACCTAAATATTGATTCTTGGCTCATTAAAGGGCTAATGTATGGTGGCGTTTGGGCTACAGTACAATTTCTTTCAAAGTAAGTGTATTGTCTTTATATTTAATAGTATATGAAAGTTGTACCCTGCTATATGTTTTGGTATGTTTAGAAGAACATTGCCTTTATGGTAGTATGTTTTATCTTTATTGTTAAAAATTTTAAGTTATCATTTGAAATCTTTTAGATTTTAAAAACAGTTATTAAAATGATTCTAAAGGTGTTTAATGACAAATCTAGCATGTAATTTTAAAGCTAAAAGGTAGTTTTAGAAATTTAAATATTTCTAAATAAAATTTCAGTAGAAGTGAACTTAAATTTGTTGAACTGTAACTGTAATATGCATAGTGTTTATTCCTGTGTAATTATAATATTGCCCTCACATTTTCATAGGCATTTTATTTCCTTTGGTCACAGATAGTAAACAAGGAGAGGTTTGATTTTAACAGGGTGAACCTAAGCATAATTACGATATAGGCGCTGTTAAAAAATTCTTTCCTTTTTTTTAATGTTTTGACCATTTTCTTTTACTCTTCTTATCTTTAGGTCCCATGCCTTAGTTTTGCCCCATTCTGCAAACCTAAGGTGGTGTCTGTAATCCAGAACTTCCTATTTATTTATTTATTTATTTATTTTTGGTACCTGGGATTGAACTCGGGTCCTTGCGCTTGGGCAGCAGGCAGTGAAACTACTGAGCTAAATCCCTGGCTCCAGAACTTCCCATTTAATTTCCATTCTTTTAGTGTCTCATTTTTACCTAACGTTTAGAAAAGAGTTGTGAAAATAATTCACAAAAGAATGGGAATAACTGGTAATGTGCTAATATATTAACTCAAAAGAAGGGACTGAATTCTGGTTAACTTACCTCATTTTAGCATCTCTAGGCACTCCAAAAGAGATAAATATAGGAAGTCACCAAGATTCCCTACTTAACCTACGTGGGTATTAATCCAGTTTATGTCTAATAAAATTTATTATTATTTATCCCTAAACTTGAAGTATTACAAATACAAAACTTTAGTCCAAATCAGCTAGTTCATTTTGTCTGAAAAGATGTGCCCCAACCTTAACTGAAGTATGTAGATGAGAAATAATGATGAAACATAAAAACTTAAGTATTGTGTTGAAATTATAATCCATTTTTGAGGAATAATATGTTGGATGATGGAGTTGCTGTTCATACTAAAGTAAATTATTGATTTAAAGCAATCAGAGTATGCTGAAATTCTGAAATTGAAAAATACATGAAATATAATTTTAATTATTTGTAAATTAAAAGGAACTTCAGAATCTTGCTGACTCAGTTTAGCTGTGAACTTATTACTGTTATTTTTACTGTGATGACATTCTCTGTAATCATCCTAAAACTTTTGGATTCTGGTTAAACCAGTGCTTGCCATGCAGAATTTATGTAAATTTTATTTAAATAAGTATTCATTTTTATGATGAAAATAGAGTTCATATTTTATAAAACTTATATTTTGCAGATCCTTTTTTGATCATTCAATGCATAGTGCATTGCCCCTTGGGATATATTTGGCAACCAAATTCTGGATGTATGTGACATGGTTCTTCTGGTTTTGGAACGATATCCTTTGGTTTTAAAGAGCATATCTAAAACTAATTTTGTTTGTTATTTAAGCAAATGTTAAATTTAACATTAGGACTGAACTACTCATAATTTATACAGAAAAGCAATATTCCTAAAACAGTGTGAACTAAATGTTTTTAAATGCTTTATATCTAATAGGTTGCTTTGAAAGCTGTCTTAAACAGCTGTGTATAATAATAGCTACCATTTACTGAGGTTATTTTGTTTTACATGATACTAGAGATTGAACCTCAGGTATTCTCACTAAACTACATACCTTTTTACTTTTTAGTTTGAAACAGTGTTTTACTAAGTTATCCAGGCTGGGCTCAAACTTGCATTACTCCTGTCTCAGCCACCTTGAATGCTGGGATTACAGGTGTGTGTGACCACACAGCTTCATTTACTGAGGTTTTTTTTTTATTTTTTATTTTTGGTACCAGGGATTGAACTCAGGACCTTCCACTTGCAAGGCAGGCAGCAACACCATTGAGCTAAATCCCTGGCCCCCATTTACTGAGTTTTTAAAAAGCATTTTCTTAAGTGCTGATTTAACCTACATCCTATAAGTTAGTATTGTTACCTCCATTTTAGGAGAAAATGTAGTCTTAAGCAACCCAACGCCACATTAGCTGGTCTCTGGTAAAGCAGGGATTAGAACAAGTTTTGTCTAACTCTCAACATGCTTTAATCCTGTCTGCATTAGTCAGCTTTCTCATTGCTTCACAAAATACCCAATACCTACAACTTAAAGGAAGAGAAGTTTATTTGGCTCACAGTTTCAGAGGATTCAGTCCCTAGTTGGCTGGCTCCAAGATAGGAACATCATGATGGGATAATGTGGTAGATAGAGCGTGGCTGCTTAGTTCATGGTGCCCAGAGAAAGGGAATGGTGCCAGAGAAGGGGTGAGGGACCAAATATGGTACCCAAGGTCACGTCTCTATAACCACCCAGACACATCCAGAAATGTGCTTTACTAATACTAGGTCAGTGAGGGCGAACCTATGGGACACATGCTGCAGCAGGCTGTTTGTACCATTGTAAGCTAAAAGGTTTGCCATCACTGCTAGGCAGTTCCCAAACTAATCAAATTGACAATTAAGCTAGACCATCATACTCCCAAACTGATTTTGATGTTTTAGTATCAAGCTATTTTTCTCTTAAGTATTGTCCTAATTTAATATATTATTTTGCTCTGGCGTGGGTAGCAGTTAATCTTAAGATTCTTTATCTTTGTTCTCTTAAAAGTATGTAGTGCTATATTGTCAAAAATTTTCTAACTTTGGCAAATTATCAGTGTAATATATTTTCTAAAAGCATTATAATTTGAAATTGTGTACAATATATGCATGTCACTGTCAAAAAATAAAGCCAATATCAATTTTGATATTTTTACAGTTGTTAAGATTTATTTAAATATAGACATATTTCATAGATATCTGTTAATTCTTTTTTCCAAAATATTGCTATAACAAGTATTTAAGGTAATGTTTAAATGGGATGCAGTTTTCAGTGACTTGTAACTTTTCCAGTTTTGGTAAATACCTAGTTTCACTTGATAAACTTGCGTAAGTGATCTTGTGTCTTACTTGAAAAGCAAAGGATGTTCATTTTATTTCTTGAACTTGAGCTCCAGAATTGTAGTCATACATATAATTTTATATTTTTACTGCATTATAATTATTTTCAGAAAGTATAGTATAACACTTTACTTTTTAAACACTTTCTTAGTGTGAGAATTTAAATTCTTCCATGTGGCAATTTTCACCAGTTAATTCTGGCTTTGGATTGTACTTTCACTTACAAATTATTTCTCAAGAATTTATTAAACCTTAGAATGTCTTCTATTGGAACATTTAATGTAAATAAAACAGATCTGCTTGTTTTCATTACCTCATTGATTTTAAATTTATGAAATGTACTCACTTGTGAGATAACTTTGGTATTCCAGACATACTTTCTAACTTTGAGTTTCCTAAATTGGACATTAAATTTTACATCTAAGTAAAAAACCTTTTATTTGCATCTCGAAATAATTTTAAACTGTTGCTGTACTCCTGGTCTATTAAGTGGAAAGAACCAGGGAAAGTAGTAGATTATGAAACCTTAATGCCTGAGAATGTTATATAATTTCAGTGTTTTTTATTTTTTCCTAGTGAAGATGATTTATTGAGCTTCACAGAGAAAATGTGATGCTATTTCACAGTAAAACTTTGGATTTAATGAGGAAATATGTATTAGCAACATACACAATAAAGCCTTATTAGTACAGCTAACTGCATTAGCTGCATTAGACTCTGGGGTAGTTTCCTTTGGTGCTCTCAATTTAAGATTTTTCTGAAACAATTCTACTGTTTCAGTTAAAAGTTAGACTTAAATTCATAGATTTACAAAATATGTGATTTGTGCTTAAAAAAACTAATAAGTCAACAGCCACCAGTTTTGGAAGTGGTTTCAACAGTCAGTGAAGTGTTGTATAAATATTTTGGAGTATATCTAAAAGCTTTATCCCCATTCAACTAAGTATCTTCTTTTAAAAAAGTAAAGACGTGCACTAAAATGGTTAAGTTGTTCCAAATGAGATAAAAATATTTTAAAATTAATAAATATTAAAGTGAAAAAATAAGTCCTTTCATAGAACTGTAAATGGATATTTATTACTAGCCTCTTACAAAAAGAAAAAATTAAATTAGTTTTAAAAACCCATACAGTATGGGCTTTTTTCTTTTCTCTATGTGGATTTAGCATAAAAATAGCTATGCAGGTTTCCAAATCCTAGGAATTGAGAATGAGAGGTAGATTTTGAAGGGAAGCCAGAATAAAGAAGTCTTACTTAAATTACCCAATTCAAATAATTCTGCCTTTAAAATAGATTGCAATATATTTCATTTTTAAAATGTGTTAAATAAATTTTGCTGGTTAATTTCTCAAATAAAAATTACAATATGAGAATACTAAATTTTATACTTGCTTGTCTGTGAAGGAGGGGTAATAGTACTGTCTCATAGAGCTCTTGTGAAACTAACCACCTTGGGACATACCTGACGTGTAGATAGTGGTAAATTAAGTACATGTTATTTGTGTATGACTTTTAAAGTCCAGCTTTATATGAAAACATGTTTTAAATGTTTCTTTTATTCAAATGTTTATATGAAAATATAAGTGTGATACTCGTGAAATGGGGAATGAAATCACACATACTTTATCTTTTTTTTTTTTTGGTACTGGGGATCGAACTCGGGATTTTGTGCTTGCGAGGCAGGCAGTGGAACCACTGAGCTAAATCCTCGGCCCTCACATACTTTTTTTTTTTTTTAATGGTCCCTTGGACTATATTGGCTGTAATACTGAGGTAACCAGTTGACCTTATTTAGTGAAAATACCTCTAACACAATGAAAAACATCAACTAGTTATAACATACAATTCATATATACATATCAAATAAAAATATATATTATTTGCTTTAATGTATAGCAAGTTTAATACATTAGTGTTTACAAAATAACTGTATTCTACTGAAATTTTTCTTGTGCTTCCTCTTCACTAAGCGTGAAAGATCAGAAAAGTATGATACTTAAGGAATCTTATTTATGATTTAAAGATGCAGTTTGTCGGTCCATGAAAGATGGATAAATATTAATTGGAAGTTTATTGCATCTTTAAAAACTGTTGCTTATTAAAATCTACAAACTTGAACTATAAGACACAATAAAAAAAAAGACCACAGAATTTCTCAAAATAGAGTAGAATACAGGAAACGTTTCATGAAACTACTGAGATACTAACCAGTGCTATGGCTAATATTAAAAACTGAACATTCTATTTAAATTGTACTCATACTACACTTTACACACAGTGAACTATACAACCACAATAATCAACCTCAAGCTAGCAACAAAGTTGCAGGGCCCACAGGAAGCTTCTTCAGTGGGCAAAACACTATGGTACAATTAAAACATTCAGGAAGGGAGAAAAGCCTTTTAATAGTATAAAAGTTGTTTACTGGTGTTTCTACTGTAAAGCTCTCCTACATATCAAAATGAAAAAAGCAACTATATATGTGACAGTGGTCAGCGACCACAGTGCAGACATTTAACATTTGGCTGATGGATTTTAGTGTAACATTATGACTTACTGTTTGTTACACAGTTATGATCTGAAGTAGAACTAAAAGCAGACACATTACTTACGTTTATACACTGTTCTTGGCAATAATGGGGTTAGGTAAACCTGTAGGAAATAGGTAAACTGTCAAATATCTTAAACCAGCAGGAAAAAGATGTATATTGGCAGATCTTGGCTTTGTGGTGTTTTTTTTTTTGGTACTGCTATAGATTCAAATATGAAATTCTCATAATTATGTCAGTACATTATTAACATTTAAATATACCCCATATATATAGAAAATATATGTATGCACACAGTCCATTAATTGAGCAGGGGAAATTTAAAACATACTGTCAAGTTGAATAAATTTTACCAAAAAAACTGCATTAAAAAACCTGGAAGGTGTAAAAAAATGAAATGGCAAAATAATTACTGAGTTAATAGCTGTTAACTACACTTCCATAGAACTGTGTCTGCAGATGTGGTTGCAGGGACATCCTGGTGGAAGATGGCCCTGGGAGAGCCACCATGTCTCTGTGGCCCCTTCACAGGGAGAAGCATTTCTGGATGTAAAACACAGAGCCTCTCATATCTCTGTTAAGTCACCATCTCTGGCACATTTAAAGTTAATCTACTATGTCTTAACCTATTTAGCATATTCTGAAATACCAAGGCTTTCACACATTAGTCCATTTGTTTCAGGTTCTCTGTCCAAGTAGTAGCTTCCTCTCTTTGTTGCACCTTAAGTAGCTATTATACAAGCCAATCTGGGTCAGTTAGGTAAGATGAATTTTCTACCCTAATCATTTTTAACTTTCCTTCAACATTTACTGTGTAAATGCCCACTGATTAAACCAGGGAAAATGATATTACTGAATAAATGCTACA